TTAAAGAAGAAATATCAAGAAAAAATTGACTTTTGTTGGATCTCCTAAGTAAAGCCATTTTTAATGTTATTTTGGGCGAATTATAAAAAAAAAACCCTTGACTATTACCCATTTGTAAGAAACCCCATTGTGAATGTTTTTGTCAAGAAACTCCCCTCAACTATGAGAAGGGGGTGATTTAACTTACCTCCGTTTAACAATCTTGTGAGACAATTTTTTCTGAACAAATTACCCTTACATTTGGGTTAGTAGCTTCAGTTGGGTCTTCACCAAAAAAATAAAAAAATCTCCCACACTTTCTAATAACTGTAAGAAAAAAAGAGAGCAATATATATTTACCACCCATTAATCAACCAAATGGAGCGCAGTTCAATGACCTAGCTTAAAAAACAATATATCCCTTAGAGAGAGAGAGTGCTTCGGAGTTTTTTGCAAGCAGCATACTGGAGATTCCTGTGTGTTCATTTTCGTCGCTGTCATGAAACAGGAAACCAAAAAAAAAAAATAGTATCAAATAGTAACACACAGGGTTTGTTGACTTGGATCACAATAACAAATTTATGAAATTTAAGAACTTCAATATAACATTATGGATTTTATGTGTAAAACTTGCATAGTGTTTCTACTAAATCTATTTATTACAAAAGTTAAAGTGAAATCATGGAAATGTGATCAATATATGATGAGTTTGAAACAAGCTTGAGATGCACAGAACAAAATTACACATCGAGTGTCTTGTGTTGCGAGACTGTTGTGTCCTTTCCTCTCTATTGGCAAACCATTGAACTGTTCTTCTTGCAATTGGCAACCAAAGCCTCCTCAATCTTTCCTCCTTGACATTATTTTCAGGAAGAGAAGTGTCTCTATTACTATTTCTCATGCCCAACTCTGTGAATCTTGGATGAACTGTTATATCTGACATCGATCTGTGTGTGTTGGGATTCAAAAATCTTGATGTTTGGCTTTGATATATTTTGGACTCCAAAGTGTTAGGAAGATCTGAATCAGTTTGGTTGATTTTATTGACCCTGCTCTCAAACACTCTCTCCCTCTCCATCTCCTCCTTGATCTTCAAAATTTCTGTGTCTTCAACCCCACTTGGTGTCGCGGATTGATCATTATTTACATCCAAGGAAGAGAATCTATTGCTTGACATAGCATTAAGGATCTCCGAATTCAGGAGCATGAGGTCAGAAGAACTCACACTGCTCCATCTATTCTTGAGGACCACATCAAACATAATGATCCTGTGATTGAACTTATGTAGAGCTTTTTCATTTTCGTCGCTGTCACAATCTACTTGGATGGGAAATTCTTCTTCTTTCTTACCCTTTTCAGATTTCCTAAAGCTGCTTCCAATGCTAAATCTCGAAGAACCATGATGGTCTTCCTCTCTCTGGACAAAAAGCTCCATGGTTGAGTACACGAAGTATGTAAGGTCATCAGCACTGACCTTAACCCTGCAAAGAGGACAGCTTGAGTGCTTCTCCAGCCATTGTCTACGAACTTGGATATGTAAGGGTAACTTGGTCAGAAAAAATTGCCTCACAAAATTGTTAAATGGAGGTAAGTTAAATCAACCCCTCCTCATAGTTGAGGGGATTTCTTGCCAAAAACATTTACAAGGGAAATTTCTTACAAATGGGTAATAGTCAAAGGGTTTTTTTTGCAATTCGCCCTATTATTTTTGCTCCGTACTTTTTTTAAGTGATCCTCTTTCTCTTTTCATTTTTGGATTCCTATCTAATGATCCGGGACGTAATCCTGGACGTGAAGAATAAAAGAAAAAGGCTTTTCGTTTTCCTTACTTGATTTTTCAAATTTATTAGGATTTTATCGATTCCACGTTTAACCAAGGGTTGGGGAAATTTGAAAGATAAAGCAAATATCAAGTCATCAACGGAAAGAGAGGGATTCGAACCCCCTTTATTTATGATACCGGGCCGGGGAAAACCAATAAATAAACAAATCTATTCAACGAGTAAAGGGAGAGAGAGGGATTCGAACCCTCGATAGTTTGGAAATTGAATGATTTTGATGAAATGACCATTCCAAGAAAGGAGGGGAATGAATATTCCATCTTTAAAATTACTTTGTGAATGAAATTAAAAGCATTGCATTCCACTTTATAGGGAAAAGTGCACAAAAAACCCCTGTACTATGGAAAAATCTACAACTAACCCCTTGAACTACCAAAAATGCAAGAAACTCCCCTAAACTATGCAAAAAAGTTACAGATCACCCCATCCGGTGACCAGCCGTCCAGTAATGAGCACGTGAGAATCACGCGACAAACAAACTGAGTTTTTTGGCCAATAATGCCCTTCCATATATAAAAATACCAAATTGTCCTCTAACCACCACCACCACCGTCTACGACCACCAACATAACCACCACGAAACCCCCCTGAACTCATGCCAAAACACACCGTTAAACCAAATCAAACCCACCACCATCACTACCACCTCCATCGGCATCTCAACGGCACACCATTAAAACCAGTACACAAACCGACTACCACCCCAATCCCGCCACCCATCTCTGCAAACCCAAAACCACCACCGCACATCACCCTATTCCAGTAACCAAATGACACATCAAACCCATAACCACCACCACGTTCAACCAAAAGCATCACCGCTCCTCCACCCAAAACCTCCACAATCACCACTCATCCCCATCACAAAGCCAACACCAATTGGAATATATATATATATAGTTTGGCTTTGGTTGTATCATCAGCTTCGGCTCTGATTCTCTCTCTCTCTCTCTCTCTCTGCAGAAAAATGAGGCCCAAAGACAGGTCGCTGTGGATAATTGAGGGTAATGTTGTCTTTTGGCTTTTCCAGCACCCTATTGTTAGTTCAAAGGGGTTAAATGCAACAATTTGTTAGTTCAATGAGGTTTTATGTAGTTCAACGGAATTAGTTGCAAAACCCCAATAATACAGAAGGATTTTTTGCACTTTTCCCTGCTTTATATTATATAAGGGGAAAAGTCTGAAAAACATCCCTATAGTTTTAAATTTGTGCGAATTACACCCCCATAATTTAATTTGGGTCAGAATTCTGATAAAAAATAGATATTAGTTGGTCATGTGCATGGTACATAACCATTTTAAACCCTTTATTCCCAAAATTACCCTTCTAATATTTCTTTAGTACCCTTCATCATATATATATATGATTGTACTGATTTTTCCTGAAGTATGATTCAATTGATTTTCCTTTCGATTAATTTATTAATTTGTTATTAATATATTATATATAAAAAAATGTATTTTTTTAGGGTAAAAATTTGTAAATCGAGTATAATAAATTTCATTATAAATAGTTAAGTTTCATATTAATGATTCCTTACTTTAATACAATAGGTTTTTTTTTTTTTTTTTCATAATTGATACTCACACACGCATGCCACTAGGGGTGTTCAAAAAATCCAATAAACCGAAAACCGGACCGGGCCGTACTGAATTGGGCGGTTTGGGCTAGTTGTATAGCCGTTTGGGCTAATTGTATAGCGGTTTGGTCCAGTCCTGGGCCCAAAATTATGGAACCGTAATTTTTCGGTCCGGTCTTGGTTTAGGGTCGTGCTGGACCAGACCAGCTCGAACCGAACCGTTATTATGTTATTTTTTATGTATATACATAAAATCATATCCTAAACCTAAATCAAGTAAAGTTCTCACGTGCTCCATTTCTTTCTTTTATTCTTTAAATTTCTTAATTTCTTTAAAAAAAAGTCAAATTTCTCTTTTCAAATATATCTCAATTTTCTTTCCTTTATTTCTTCTTAAAATTCTTCTTTTTTTTTTTTTTTTCTTTTTTTTTTTTTTGCGTATTATATCAATGTTGGTTGATTTTTTAGGAAAAAAAAAAAAAAAAACTTTGCCCCCTTTAAATTAAAATAAAATAAAAAGAAAATCTACCGAAACCGACAAACCGAACCGAGCCGAACCGGTTTTTCGCAGTTTGGTTTGGTTTGGTTCAAAATAGTGGAACCGTTATAAATAGTTTAGTCTCAAAATACAATCAATCTGGTCCAAACCGGACCGTGTGCACCCCTAGATGCCTCTTTGGAGGCTAGAATTCTTGACATTCCTCTGAAAAGCAAGGGCCAATACTACTAGGCCCGTTGGTAATACAATAGGATTCTTAATAGGCATACGCAAACCCAAATGATTTAAACCTATAATAAACTCACACTAATTCCATTTTTAAGCTTATACCCTTACTATTGTAAACATTGACACTCCTTAATTTGTCAAAATAAATATTAATAATAGATTTTTATTTTAATACAATTTAGGGTACTAATCAAATATATAATTATATAATCTTATTAAAAAAAATTAAAATATTATTAACTACAATATTGTATTTTCCTTACTTTTTTTTTTTTTTTTGAATTATATTACACTCCACTAACATTGCACGTGCGCTTTACTGGTGTGATAATAAATTCATTCTATAAGGGTATGATAATATTGGACATCCTAATTCTAAAATTAATACTTAACAAATTCTACCAAAAATTGAGTGATTCAAGCTAAAGTAACAATACAATTAATAAAAAGATATGAAAAGGCATAAAATGTCATAATTTGTTATTTTTTAGAATCGAGGCATAAAATGTCAGAATTTGTTCCTCCTATTTATTATCGTGGTCATAAATCATAAATAATCAATTGAAGAAAAAAACATAAATTTCAATTATTCATCCTCAGTTAGGCATAAAATGTCATAATTTATTACTTTTTAGTACATAAAATGTCAGAATTTGTTCCTCCTATTTATTATCTGCGTCATAAATCATAAATAATTAATTGAAGAAAAATAAATAAATTTTAATTATTCATCCTTAGGCATAAAACGTCATAATTTATTATTTTATTTCTCAAATAGTCCAATGAAAATTACTAATTCATGATTATATACAAGTAACCTTTATGCTAGACTCCAAATACAATCAATTTTAGTCTACGGTTAAGTACATGAAATTAACAAACTGGAACATGCATTTAAAATTGTTTAAATATTTTATTGAGTTAGTATGAACATCAAACAAATTTAACAATTGAAAACATAGAGTTACAAGACTAACTTACTAAGGCTTCCTCTCAGCCAAAGTTGAGAAATTAGAACTCAAATAAATAATAAAATAACAACTATAAAACACGGCATCATGAGTAGAAGAAGGATCTTCTGTATTTTATTTGTCACTTGCATAAGCCTCCCAGCTTTGCTTCTTAAGAAAATGCACGGCCTTTAGTGCCCTTATAACAGCTTCCATTTACAATTCAAACAGTGGCCAAGTCAACCCCCAGTGCAATCATGAGGCCATTGACTACAGTAAGACAGTATAATTTTCATTATCCATAAAGATCCAATCCAAACAGGTAATAATTCAATCACCAAAAATTCCATATGCACACTAATCAAATCAAAATCAAAACATATTGTAGAGGTAATTATTTGTAAAAGCTGAAGATAGGGCAAGAGGATATGCCAAAGTTGAGTTGTCGATCAACAAATGAAACTCAAGGAATAAATTTGAAATGAATAGACAAAAATTCAAAAGGCAGGAAAAGCAATCATCAGTACCTTATTTGCCAATCATATGCAAGTTATACTCTTCTTGATTGCTAATGCCAAGGAGGCAAACTGATTTCTTGATAGAAGATATGCCGCAGATACTCTCATTGCTGGGGGTCTACCAGTTCTCGAATATTTAACACCTATAGGAATAGGATGTGTCTTTTTTTTATCCATGAGTGGGAATGTAAAGTATGACCGTGATGAAGGCATAAAAACAAGGGGCCCATATTGGATGAATGTTCTAATAGTTTTACATGTGTCTGAACTCTGTTCAAAAATACAGAAAAAGCATACTTGTTAAGGCTCAAGGTATACACTAAAGTGCCAAAGGTCTCCTGGAGCACAAGCGCAAGGCACAATATAAGGCACAAGACTGATCAAAGGCGCATGTATGATAATAATGCATATTAAAGATTAATTTAATAAAAATTATTAAACTATGCAACACATACTAGTCAATATCAAAATAAAGAAATCTTTCCAACATTTCAATGATGTGCTTAAATCATATCAAAATAATAATTCTCTAAAAATGGGATTTTTGACCTATCAAGCTAAGAGGATCCAGTAAATTGATGTTGCATAAATCATTTCTTAGGCGTATACATTTAGTAAATTAGATGTGATTACAAACGTAAAACAATAAAAAAGCTATGATCAAGTAAACATTAAACATATATAATCATGTTTATTTAGAATCAAAATGAATGCAATTAACGTAATAAGTCAACCATAAATCTATGAATTTGTCAAATATATCATAAAGTCAAACAATATGATCCATTAAATATGATCGTGATATTATACAAAACATTTTAATTTAATGGTCATTAAATAAAGAACGTAAAATGCGTGAGTCTGGGGGCTTGGGCTTGGGCTTGGGCTTGGGCTGGGGCTTGGGCTTGGCCTTTAGTAGGTTGAAGCACTCTTAACCGAGCCTTGACAACCCTGTCGCTTTTTCGGATACTAGGCACACTTTTAATGTTGATCAACATTCCCGCTTTGTTACTTCTTTAGCCAAGAAAAAAAAAATTTAATGAAACAAAAATTACAAGTACACATACGAGGGTACCAATATTTCTCTAAAAGTGAGTCTTAACTCATTGAATGTTTGGCACTCCACTGTTGTAAGGATTTAATTGGTAAAATTGTTGAAATAAAGAAAAATGGAAGAAAGACATCCTCAACATCCCTGATTTGCTACTTCTTTATCCCAAAAAAGAAAAAGAAAAAAATACATTTAATGAAACAAGAATTACAATGCACAAGGGTACAAAAATTTCTCTAAAATTGAGTCTTACTCATTTAATGTTTGACATTCAATTGTTGTCAACAGGCTATCCGCTATCACACATAGAACCTTTGGATTAAATGAGGTTGGAAGGAAAACAAAACACACGACTTTTGGTGCTCATATATAGCCAAAGAAATTTGCTAATTGTAGAAGTTATATATATATATATTCCAGAATTTCAAGCAAATTGTATAAAACAATAAAATGTAAAAAGTGGACAAGTCCACCGGATAAGATCTCTAAGTGAGAGACCAAGCCCAATTAGAAACCATCACTTATAAATGGGAATAGGATACAAAAAAAGCCCAAAACAAACCCAAGCCCAGTAACAATTCTCAAGCCGATCTCAAGTCAAGAGGCTTCCTTGGAGGATGGCAGGAGGAGGGGCAGAGACCCCAGCTGAGCAAAACACGATAAGATTGGGGTGAATCTTTCAAAAACCCACCCATGAGCCTCTGTATGATGGAGGAACAGATTTGGTCCAAAACATGGTTCAGGGAGGAGATCTTGCCTCTAAAAACCCAAGCATTTCGTTTGATTTCCAGTGGTGCGATGACGCATTAAAAGACCTATCAATATAGAACTCATGATGTTGGCTGACTCAGTAGACTTAGTAATATGCTACATACAAATAATTTTCTGTTGTTCTTTTATCAACAAAATCATATAGAACCATCGCCCTGAAAGGTAGAGAAACATGTATATGGTTTATAGATGAAAGGGGTCAGAATTAGTTTGGTTTGGGAAGTGATCGATTGCTAGATTGTAGATACAAAAACTTTTCCGCACTAATGAAGTAATGCAACCCTAAGGTTACCTAGATTCAGATTATTAAGAACAATTTTTTGGGGTATACAAAAAATTGTGGAGAATATCGTGGAACGGCTCTTAATAGACACAAGACCAAATCTGAGATTATGTAAAATGCACCTCTAGCCTTGAAAGCTTCATGCTTTGATAGACTAAAAAAAAGGGATATAATAGAGGATGCAGAAAAGTACGTAAAAGTATGAAAGTAAAGAGTAGATTTCAATAATATTGTAATGAGAGCCTGGAATAGTCAGGACTATGCAAATGGCCAGGACTATGCAAATGGCCACATAAGACACTTCCAAAACCCAACTGAAGTTACTGAACATACAGGAAGAAAGAGAGTAATGCAATATAAGATGAATAGAGGGAAGATGAAGAGTAGAGAGAGGCAGCAAAAACATTTGGAATTTTTCCAATCAACCCAACAATAGTTTTGGGAATGGGTAAGAAAAAGATAAGCCACGAGATCATCACCCTCGTTTTCCGAACCTCCAGTGCTAAGATCCTATGTAGGTAGAATCAATGCATCATATAACCAACCACACATAGGTGATCCTCAAATGCCACATAAAAAAGCTGATAATATAGTAGCATCAACCTCGGATATGAGAAACACCAAAAATGAGTGTTTGCTAGGTCGGGAGGAATGATAAGTGGATGGGAGAGAGATGAGTTGCTCAAGTATTCATGAATATAATTCTTAACAGCACACAAAAAGATTAAAATTTATACTTCAAAATATGTGAAGCAAGAATTTACCATCCCTAATGAGAAAAACATCAGCAAGGACAAACTACTGTCTATGTCTCTTACCTTTTCCTTGGAAAAACTGTTAGACAGTGAGGGAGGTGGCATGCAGAGATCCTTTGAATAAGACCTCAATGTTAAACTCTCTTCTGTGTAAAACAAAACATAACAAAATCAGACTACTTTAAGGCTCCGTTTGGTTAGATAGAACTAAGCAAGAAAAGAAAAGAAATGAAAAATGAAAGAAAAGTGAAGTGAATGAAAAGAAAAGTTATTTTCTATCAAGCATTTGGTTAGCATGAAAATTTATTCAAGAAAATTGTATGAAAATATTAGTTTGTTAGTTTGGATAGCATGAAAATGAAAAGAAAGTGATTGTGCATACCAAAATTACCCTTATGATTTCAAATACTAAAAAAATAAATAAATTTGTGTTTGATGATATCTATTTTTATCAAAGTTTTAAAAAAAATGATGAATTATTAAAGTTAATAATATAATTATTTATATTCATTTATATTGTATAAAATAAAACAATACTTCAAGACTTCTTAGGTAGAACCATAGAAGTAAAACTAACTATTCATTTAAAAGGAATAAGGAGGCTTAAAAATAAAATAAAAAATAAAAAATTTGGGCTCATGGACTCATGGGCTTTCAACTAGAGAACACAAAAAAGCAAAACATATATTATTCTATGTATATATAATAGAGGGGTATATATATATATATATATATATATATATATATATATCAAATACAATGTATATATTTGGAACCCAAAAAAAAAAATCGTCCAAATAGTATTGCAAAAGAACATGTTTAGAGAGAACTTGCCTTTTAGAAGTCCACTAAAATAGAAATTGTTAGAAAACTTGCCTCTTTGAAACTCAGTAGAAAAGAAACTCAGTTAGAAAAGAAAGAAGTTAGTTGTTTTACATGATTCAGTTGTTGGATAAAATAGGAACTTTAAATAAAAAGAAGCAGTTTTCAAGAGAAAATATTATTTCCTCGTGTTTTATGTGAGAAAAGTTTTGGGGGAAACTAGTCTAATGTGGGAAACTATATTTTCTATTACGATTCTTTTTCCATCTATCCAAACTCTAAAAAAATTTAAAAATTTTCTCTTTCCTTTCTTTTCTAGTTGATTCCATCTAATCAAACAAAGCCTAATGGATTTTTTCTGGAAAATTCCTTTGAAGCATGAGTCACTTGAAGTGGAAATCAACCAATCACCTAATTCTTCCGTTGCCTCTTTGATACTTTCACTTTCACTATGGCATTTTAATGTCACGAAAAAATAAACATGCATTAGAATACTAGAGCTTATTCAAAATCAAATCACCTAAAGAAAGAGAGATAAGAAGATACAAAATTTTCACCGATCAACTGAACAAAGTAATTAGCTGCCAAACCAGTCAATGTCACTTAAATCAACATCTTTGTCGTTTATAACAAACCCGGCTCTCTCAAGCAGCGCCTTAATGTCGTTGACCACCTTTTCTTTTGGAATCTATAAGAAAACATTAAGGGAGTAACTTTGTGAAGTGTTGGGTCAAAACTTAAAACATGAGGAAACTGGTAGTAATACGAGTTGAAAGATGACCTCTTTCATTCAAAAGGAAAAACAACTAGCATTCACAACACCCCCGTGGTTTGCCTCTTTGACACCCAATTCTTTCATAGTGACACCTCCTCAGATTCGCTCCATTAGACAAAGACACTCCGTGAACGCTCCGGCACATGGTAAAATGACCTGAATGCCCTTTTACTTGTGAAGTGACACTTTGAATAGTTAAATTACCAATTAACCCATTCTAACTAATTTTAAATGTCCAAAATAACCTCTTCATCTCAACCACCTACCCACAATGCTGCCACCACCACCACCCACAGCCACCACCTCTTCTTTCTTCTCTTCCTTCTCTCTCTAAAACACATACATTGCAATCCTCTGCAACCACTACTCCATGGTCGAACCATCAAAGTCCAGACCACCCTCAATCACCCCAATTGAAGTCTTCGCCATTCAAGATGGCCCCATATAACCCCTTCACTGACAAAACAAATAACTAATGAACCAATGAAGGCAAGTCATGCAATTTCATTCCACCAAACACCTTCTGTAAAACCTCCCTATGCCTTCCCTTATCAAGAAACAAAAAGTTCTCTCCATAATGTTTATATTTATAAAAATTTCCTCCATTTATTGGGGGAAAAAAAAAAAAAACAACAAAAAACAAAAAAAAAAAAAAACAAAAGTTCTCTAAAAAATGACACCATCTTCACCATCAAAACCTTAAACCAATCACAACCAAAACACGAAAGAAACGAAAATTCTCCAAAAATTGACGCCATCTTCACCATCAAAACCATAAACCAATCACAACCAAGCAACAATCACGAAACACGGCAGACGTGGCTCGCCAAAGCCTACATCCACAATGAAGTTCCGGTGAAAGCATTCACTATGCAAAAATCTGGTAGGTACAAGTTTTAACCCCCAAACCCTTTCTCTCGCTCTATTTTCTACGATTTTCAGTGTCTATCTATATCCCACTCCAAACCCTAAACGCCCATTATATATCGGGCTACAAGAGGGTACTAAACAAGGCGTAGTTGCGACCCTAGAACCAAACTCAGGCCACAACATCACTGATTCTAAGTAATTGAGTTGTCAATAGTGGTAAAGGCTAGGGATTTAGAGGTGTGTGGTAGTTGGGTGATTAGAGTGGTGGAGTATGGCGAAGGGAGTGATGGATGTGGGTGGTTGGAGTGGTGGAGGTGGACTATTGAAAAAGAGAGTGAGAGAGAGAGGAAGGGTGGAGGAGAGAGTGTCCCAATTGAAATGTGTAGAGAGGGATGGTGACAGCTGATTGTGGTGGTGGAGGAGAGAGAGACGTAATTGAGGTGTATAGGGGTGTTTTTGTCTGCCTCGGTTTCGAGGTCGAGCAAGGCTTCAATGGCGAACGAGTTGGACTCAACTGAGTTGGGGTTCGGGTTGGTATGTGATTGATGCGAAGCTTGTTTTAATGGTGGTAGTGGGGTGAAGGTTGCGGTGGTGAGTGGGGAGCGAGAAAAAGAAGGGGCAGGTGGTGGTGGGCGGCGATGGTGGGTGGTGTTGGAAATGGTCGGTGGTGGGGTAAGCTAAAAATGTGAGAAAAGCATTAAAAATGGGTCTTTTGGTTTTAGGGGCAAAGTAGTCTTTTGGTTTCTCTATTTTTTATAATAAAAGAGCATTAAAAAATTAGGGCAATTTAGACATTTCACACATTTTTAATGTGGAAAAGCTAACGGGAGGTGTGACTTTCAAAAACATTGCCAAGTTCTATCTGGGTGACAGAGGCAAACCACATGGGGGTCAGTGTAATTTTTAATAGGTATAAATATCATAACCAAATAAATTTCTACACAATTTCCGGAAGAAAAGAAAAAAAGTTTAAATCTATGCATGTTGCAAACAATATGAGAATTACAATAAATCGCAAGAAACAAGCACAAAAACCATAAAAAACACAGATCATAACAACTTACTTCACTTTGTACTAATTGCCTGTATTTTTCAAGAGCAACACCAGCCTTCTCAAACACTTTGAGCAACAATATTCCCCGCGTCATCGCTGCCTTAATATCGTTAAGCGACCGAACCAACTTACCAATCTTATTAATTCCGAGCAACTTGCTTTCATCTTGAGTTAGTCCTACAATCTCGTCAACCAACTTATCATTCTTGTGACTTCCGATCAATTTGAATTCATCTTCAGTTAGTCCTACAATCTCTTCAATGATGCTTTTGAGCATTGACATGCTCAAAGGGTTAACTTTTCTCGAGCAACCAACAGTAGAGTAGCCATCTCAATAAGTTCTCCCTCCATAGCATAATGAATAAATACTTTATCAACCTCCTTTGTGTTCCATGCCAGCAAGCTATTAATTTCTAATGGTACTTTCTGCCACATTTAACCATAATAAGCAACAAACAGAAAGGAAAAAAAAAAAAATAGATCAGACCACTCAACCCATTCAAATGTATAGAAAGTAAACATTATTTGTAATACACATAAATTTTGTCTAAACAAACCATTTGAGGCAGACAAAAGAACAACGATCAACTTGAAGATAGATTTTTTTGGGATCAATCAAGGATCGATGATAACTGCATCAGCCACATTAAAAATACAATCAAGAAAAAGGGAAAAGAATTAGGTAGTTAAGAATGATGTATTAAACCTTGATCTTAGTTCATATTATAGGCCCCATGAAAGATATAAGAAAGAATAATTTTATATTATAAAATCTGTCTTCTACCTTACTGTTTCAAGTGATACGTTGAGAGGAAACAAGTCGCCCCTAAATTCACCCTCTATGGTTCTGCATCAGTCCGAGCTCCATGGCAAAGTAATGTCGCAATCATTTCATATGATAAACTATTAGCTGCTAAATGCAATGGATATAATCCATCGTTAAACGGAATATTGAGATCAGCGATGAAACCAGTCTCCCCTCCGAGAAAAGCGATGGCACAATCTATTATGCCAAACTGACAAATTTGATACAAAATTATTGGTGGGCAATATTTACCTTGATAATCAGATGATTCCTTCTTTCCAACTTCTTCTGTTTTTGGTACTTTTCTTTGAAATAGCTCATTCATAAAAGAGAGAAATAGAGGTTTGTCATCATCACAAACAATTTCTTCTTTAGATGAGCATATCCAACCTGTCATTATCTGAACAACACTAACATCAACACGTGAAGACGACCACAAAAAGATAATAGCGCATATCATTAAAATAAATGCACGAACAGTAATATAAGTAAGAAAAAGGGAGCCCCGATCCTCTGCTGTAATCTCCCTTGCTGTAGTGGTGCCATAGGGTTTTTCAACACAATTACACCTGTTTTCAACATATTACATATGCCCCAATTACAACAGAGGAGATTATAAGTGAGGATCCGAGTGCATGAAAAGGGAATGTGAATGTATTCAAGTTTAAGTAGACACCTCAGACATCCTTGCCCCAATTACAGTATCTGCTCTGAATTCTGACCTCCTTAAAAGGCACTCCAATATAAGAATAACCTTCAGAAGGAAAAAAAAAAAAAAAACATAATCGAAATAAACAACTAAATCACAATGGGGAGGCAATCACATAATTATATACTGTACTTCAATTCAGTTTATAGTGCAAAATAACTACTAGAGAATGGAATCCCAACATTCGTCGGATGCACAAAAGGGTTTATGCACTTGTGTATAAAAAACATAAAAGCTCGCATACGAAACAAGAGGCCATTACTGGCCTAGTTGATAGAGCACCTAGCTCCTCAAGCAGGTGTGCCCGAGTTCAAATCCCCACTCCACCTAGTTTGCGAAGGGAAAAAAAAAAAAAAAAAAAAAAAAAACAAAACAAAACATATGAAACAAGACAAACTTAATCCCTACCACTCGCGCCTGTTAAGGTACATAAGCCGATGCTATGTATTTGCTACAATCAGATCTACACCAAATCAAACTAGGTAGAGAATATCTGAATCCAAAAGCACAAATATTTCCAATAGAGATGAAATGCAAATTGATCCAATATAGTCAAGGGCATAAAACTTCTGCACAATAATCATACAATTTCGGAAAAAATATTGAAACAAATACAGGCCAACGAAGATATATCAGAGACCAAAGGAACGCCGATATTGGTGTGGCGGACTAGTTTCGATCTGGTGGCAGTGGTGCTCATAAAATTTAAGCACAACAATCATACAATTTTGGAAAAAAAAAATAAAGAATACTACCCCACGAAGAGATAACAGAGACCAAAGGGGACACCGATATGGGTGTGGGGGACTAGGTTCGATCTGGTGGTGGTGGTGCAGTGGGAGAGAAGAAACCCACCTGGTGCACAAGGTCGATCAATCTTGGGGGAGAGGCACGTGAGATAGAAGCTGGGGAAGTAAGTTTTGAAATAACATAAATAGCCACCTTTTATGAGCTGACATACTCTGAGGTTATTTTTTCCAACAAAAAAATTTGGGGGAGAAATCCTCCCCATCAAGGAGGGGAGCTCAGCTCTACAGTATATATCCGATTCATTGTTAGGGTTGATAAGTCGGGTTTAAATATAGTTCAAGACCGCCTCAGGTTAGGCTTCAAATTGATCCACACAGTAACTAGAGCTCCAATCAAAATGAAATGGGGTTGTTACTTTTCAAACCAAGCTCGGACCAAATTGCAAGTTAAACAGCCCGCCCAAAAACTTTGGAACTAGGATCGAGTTTGTCCGAATTGGGCCCAACAATTTGCACCCCTAGCTATATTTACTATGGAAAGCTAAGTGACCTCACTGAAATTTCGATATTTGATGGATAATTAGTTGGTTATTACCAAGTGAAACTAATAGAGAGAGTGCTCTTACTACTACCTTTCTTCATGATTATCATTACAACCTTTCTTCTTCTGGATTAATTACAACGTACATAGGGATGGTAAAGGGGGCAGGAGTACCTTCCCCCTCCCGTTTAAGTCTCCCCACCAAAAACTGTTTAGCAAAATCGCCCTCACCGTCCCACTTAAGTTTCACTGCCCCGCCCCATTTAAGTTTCAATTTACTGATACACTAACATATAATCAAAATGAATGATCAAGTATGCGTTCTGTGAGCTTAAATGATAAATGAACTACTGTAAAAATAAAGGAAATATATAAATGATATGTGTTCTGTTAAAGTAATTTTATGAGATCAGAATCATTAGATCTGTGTAAAAGATAAAGAAATTTCATAAGATCGGATGTATATTCTGTTCGAATTGAACCCATAAATCATAATCAAACACAAATATCTGTAAAATAAAGATTTACTCATTTTTCAAGTAATAAATTGGTGTAAATCTATACGCACTTTAGACATATAATATATAGACAGCCGCTGTCCACCCACGGAGTAAGTTCACTGAGTTTTACTTTATGTATACCACACGCAGCAAGTTCACTAAGTTGTACTTTGGGTATACCACACACAGCAATGGATCTTTAACTTTGAAGAAAAAAAGAAAAAGAGAGAGAACTGACCGTAGGCCGTAAAACCAGTGGGCGGGTGGTCGGCGAGGTTGACGAAGCCGGCTTCGGTGGCAGGCCGTGAGGGATGCGAGAGTGAGGGTTTTTGGTTATCTCTAGAACGGCTGTACGCTGAAGCGATGAGATATTGATTTCTATTAGTCTATTACCATATCGTGTGTGTATATATACGTATGGGTAAATTACAGACTTCCCTTGAGTTCTGGGTAAAGAAAGACCATTTGGCATTTAGTTATTCCTCATATTTGTGATTCAATTGTTTTGTTTTCGATGCCAAATTTTATAAAATAATAATTTTTTTCCTTTTCTTCTATAAAATAAAAATTATATTAATTTTTCTTAAAGTTTATCATAATTACCGAACCTTCCTTAAATTTTAAAAATTACTCTAACCCCCTAAAACAAATCTTGTGACATAGGTCTCCCTTTTTAACAATTACCACTAGTCCATGACGAAAATTCGATTTGCTTCCAAACATTTTGAATTCTACCTCACTCCTAATCTATACATACATCCATATATGTATGTAAATCACCTCCTAAAATTCAAGTATACCTTCTCCAACACCATATTGCAACAACACAATGTTATAATTAACCATAAATAACGGGTGTTGTCTATAAGGAGGTGACTTATGAAGTTGAAATTATGGAAAAGAAAAAAAAATATGTTTGTTGCAAGGTGGTGTGTGTTACAAGGTTTAGTTTTTAGGGGATGCTCGAGTAATTTCAAAAATGGTAGGGGAGATCCATGTAATTATGATAAATCTCGATGAGGTCAATGTAATTCGCCCTATATTATAATATAAGGGCATTACTGACTTTCACACTTTTGGGCCACCCGTGAACCAGTTTAAGGGAGATTAAAGTAATAAACGCTGAAATATTCTTTATATTTGTAATTTGTTCAAACATCATGGGAGGTCAGTGTAATTTACCATATATATATATAGACACACATGCAATATTGTTCAACAACGCAAAGACTCTCACTCACCTTAATTATGATACCCCTAATTTTCACACATAAGTTGATCATACACGCAAAAATCGGGTGATATCATAGGCAATAGATAATAAGCAAGCAAATAGTACAAAATGATAAATAAAATAAAAAAATTAAAAGCAAAAAGAAATAATAATAAATGATAATAATCTTCAACCATCCATAAAATCGATAAATGTTTAAATCTCCAAAAATACAACTCGGAAATCCCGTAAAACAAGGACCCCTAAATCCATATTTAATTGTGTCCAAATTGTTTTACCACTTTAAGTGGGTATTCGCTTTTTGGAAAACGTTGCATTGGTTACGTATTGGTTAAACTATATCGTACATTAAATAATGTGTTAGTTATATATTTTATCCCAATTGTTATAACCAATTTGGATAATGTTGTGTTGATTAGGTGTTGGGTGAATAATTCTAAATAGTTATATAACGTGTAACGTGTTATTTAAATATTTGTTATAACCACTTTTTGGACAATATGGTAGTGGTTGGTCAATTTTACCACTTTAGTGGAAAATACATGCTATATATTGTTACACGTAATTACTATAAATGGTTAAATTACGTAATAAGTTCTAAATTATTTTGTGCTAACACGTTAATTGTGCAATTAATTTCATAATCTAATTTATGGTTTAATTATATATGTTGATGTCCTTGTGATCTATAAACATGATCTATGATTGTATTATTCGTTATATCTCTAATTTATGCCTTGTGGATGAAATAAATGAATGTATGTGATGTAATCATTGAGATAACTAATAAGGTAAACTCATTGTTAGATATGGCTTTATATATGACAGAATCATTAAATTAGCTATAGGGACAGAGGCATAATTTTTTTTTTTTCAGGGGGGCACATTATACACTAAATACATATAAATTAGTATTTATGGAGTATATATACATAAAGAGACATAGGTGGATATATATAGAGATTGATATTTCTGGGATGAGATAAATTAATCAATTACATATATATAATATAATAAAACAATTTAAGAAAAAACATTTAAGGAAACATATATAGTATATAAAGGAAGGAGAAAATTCAAGGGGGCGTTTTTACACATTTCCAACATATGTGACGTTTCTGATTTTTCTCATTTTCCATTTTTCTGGAATTTCTGATTTTTTTCTAGGGTATTTTCGTCTTTTCTCGTTTCGCGTGCCGAACACCGTGGGGTGTGCCAGTTATGTCTAAGAGTTAGTTGGGGGCATTCCATTGAGCTCAGGACTCTTAGAAATGAATGGGTTACCATTTCGGCATTTTTCTGTTTCTTATGCCGGGAGTCCTAGGTGGGACCCGCTACCGGAATTGTCGCGTCCGGGGGTTTTGTTTGGGTCTAATTGTATTTCATTTATTTTGTTTAATGTGTTTTATGTGGTTGTGATTTATTATGTGCATATATATATTTGTGGTAGAAATTAAAAAAGGGAAAAGATATTTTAAAAGGTGGGACCCACTAATTTTTATTAAAAGAGGGCAAGAGGCCAATTTTGGCCTCACTTTTCCTCATTCCTCTCTCTCTCTCTCTCTCTCTCTCAACGAATCTCTTTCCCTCATTCTCTTTTCATTTATTTTCCCTACAAGCTTTAAATCTCGATTTTTCTCAAACCATTAGGAAATTTTTGGTTCCGTTTGTGGCAAATTGAAGAGCTCGTTAAGATTTACGATTTGATCGGAGCAAAAGTGTTTTTGGTGCACCTTGGAATTCCAAAAATTAGGGCTTGGATTTGGGGATTTTGGGGTTCTCTGCATCAACTTAAGGTATGTCTAATTGTCGATTTCCTTGGATTTAATAGCTAGTTTGATGTTTTTCCCATCATTTGGCATGTCAATTTGATTATTAATTGAATAATGCAATTTCTAGTGTTTTAGTCTATGCTTGAGTTTAACCCAATTGATGGTTTTGATCGAATTAAATGTTTATTTTGGGTATGAATTTATAATAACATGCTAAAAAATGACTGTGGTGGATTATATATGTTATTCCTAGTATGGTTGTTTAGTGTATGTTGAAGCACGCTAAAGTTGTTTAATTAACTTGTTGTGGCCATGAAATTGTTTATTGCATAATGAAGGAATGTTGAAAATTGAATGATTGAAACTAAGATGTTCCATATGCATCACATGAGGGTATTGATAGGCATAAAAGAGGTGAGGGTGTAGATGAGATGTGTAGATGTGTGGGAGTGGAAAAGAAAGGTGTGGATACACGGTGGTATGGATGGGATGTGTGAATAAGTGGGGGTATGGTGTGACATGCGGTTGCATTGATATTTTTATGTATTGCATTGTATGTGATGGTGATATGAATTACTTGAAAATTTAAGTGCCGTATGTGAAATCCCTCGCATGACCCCACTCATTTTACCTATTCATTGTGTGTAAGGCATTGGATTACTTACTTTGTTTGAGGAGGTGCCACTTAGGCAATCTCAATTGAGCCGTTGTGCTCACTCCTCTACAATTTTTCAGGTCACGGGATTGAGCTGGTGGGTGTTGAGCTTCCACGAACACGGATGGGGTTGGACTTATATCACATTGTATTAAGATGTATATTTTGTGAATCTTAAACAATTCTATGTAATCGTTTTATTGTTATAATTTGACAATGTATCCGTATTTTTAGACAACAATTTGATGTATTTTGTGTATGGCTATGGAAGTATGTAATAATCATGATGGTTTATTGGGATGGGTGAGATGACTATGGGTTATTTGATTAATTTCATTGATGATGATGACTCATGATGTGTATCATTATTGTTGTGAGGTTGGGATAGGGTGGGCATTGGGTTTGGCTCACAAAGAGCCTAGAGTTTTTAAACCTTCAGGCTGCACATAGCTACATTCCAGGGCTCATTAGCCGACTGGCAAGGCATGTCAGCCGACTGACAGGCATCTCGAGACCATTCCATTGAGTTGTGTAGTTGAGAAGTCTTATTTCGGCCAACCGAACCTCACCATCGGTCGACCGAAACTCCATCATCAGTCGGCCGACACTTCATCACCAGCCGGCCGACACTTCATTTTAGAGAAGTCCCGGGAGTAAACAATTTTGGAGATCATTTCAGCCGGCCGAACCTTACTTTTAGTCGGCTGAAGGATCACTTTACCAAAGTCTCGAGAGTGAGCAGCTTTGGGAGTCGTTTCGGCCGACTGACTATCTCAGTCGGGCCGACCATGCATTCTCAGCCGGCTGACCTTTCCATTGACCCGGCTGATCCTTCCATTGACTTGGTTAACCTCTCTATCAGCTGGCTGACCTTATCCATTGACCTGTACTTTGACTTCTCCTTCTAAACTGTGTTTTAGAATGACTCTGGACCCTTGAATGATCTGAGTATCCCCTGTGAGCATAGGAAATGACGGAATTGCCCTTAGTTGACCCCGGTTTGGGTCGTTACAAAATTGGTATCAGAGCTTTAGGTTCGAAAACCCAAAGACGACGGGTAGGGTTGACCCAGGTTGAGTTAGAGTTGAGATTGACAGTATTGCATGCTTATGTAGTTATAGTTTATTTAGTTAAAAAGCACGACTTGCTATTACGTGTTTACATGCGAATCGATTATGAGACTTATAAAATGGTGATTAAATTTAAACATGCTAAATGATAATGTGCTTATTTTTCTTAAGTCATTGTTTAATGAATGTGAAAACATGCCTATTTGCTAGATGCTTATGTGAAATTTTTTGTATGATTAATGAAATGGTTAAATCTGTTTAAAGCATGCTTAATTGCTATATACATATATGTTTAAATGTTAGTATGTGTATTTCATGACTATAATTATTAAGTGCTTAATTGTCTACTGTTTATTGAGTCCTTGCTTAGTAGATGTACGTATGACTAATGCGTTTCATTGTTGATGGGTTTGAATGTTCGTGGCGGTGCTGTGTGTTGGGTTACGAAGGGTTCTAACCCGCGTATATGGAGAGCTTAGTCATTCCTATGTTTCTGAACGTTTTAGTTCTTATCGAACGGATAATGTGAGCACCATAGCTCGTGGATTGAGTTACTTCATGTATTCTTGTTTTGATCGTTTAGTTGTCTTTGTAGAACCATGTTTGAGGACGACGTAGTGAGATGGATCCAGATGAAGTTGGACAGCGAGCAAGTGAAGGGCCATCCTAACCAGACAGGGTTTCAATAGGACAGGGTCGAGATAGAGAGACGAATGATAATCCACAAGTACCGATGGATGATATCTTATTAGCAGGGGCTGTAGCCTCAACCTTTCAGAATTTAGCGAATACCACATCTCCTCAAGTGGTACCACAATCGGCTATTCAGCCATAGGAGACGGAGACGAAGCAGAATCTTAGATACTTGATTCAGTTTGACAAACTCATGAGAGTAGCATTTGAGGGAGGTCCAGATCCGTTGGTAGCGGACGATTGGTTAAATGAAGTTGAAAAGCATTTCAGGGCAATAGCCGTGTCCGATGATCAGTTGAAGATCACCCCAGCCACGTATAAGTTTGTTGGCAACACGGCAGTATGGTGGAAGACCATGACTAGCGCACATGATATTGACAGTATGAGTTGGGATGCATTCAAGAGTCTTTTCTTTGATAAGTATTTCCCGCAGACTAAAAGACGGGAATTGAGGACGCAGTTTGACGGGCTTGAACAAGGTGACATGGTAGTGACAGAGTATGAGAATAAGTTCACTTCTCTTTCACGTTTCGCTACAGATGTGTTAGGGATCGAAAATGAGAAGACATGGCAGTTTATGTACGGTCTAAATCGTTTAATTAGGCCGGGGGTGATACTTTTGGGATTAAAGAATTATTCGGAAGTGGTTACGAGCTGATGGCAGAAACAGAAGCCAAAGATTGGCAAGAAATGAGTGGTATTGTGGGTTCTCAGGAACGAGGTACGAATGTGGGTACTTCTTCCAAGAGCCAGGACAGGAAAAGGCACAGAGGTACTTCATTATTTTCTCAGGAGCAGCAAACGACAGGTGTTACTCCTATTGTTGGTGTTTCTTCAAGGTCCTCTAGGACGAGTGTGATGTGTTATCAATGTAGACATCCAAGACACAGCAAGGCAGAGTGTCCCCTTGATAGACCTAGTTTCGGAGTTTGTTTTCCGTGTGGTCAGCCGGGCCACATGAAGAGGGATTGTCCACAGAGGAGACGAGATATTACTGTGATTGATTATGATGTAACGGGGGGTTACCTGTGACTGTGATGTAACGAGGGCGACCTGTGACTGTGATGTAACGGGGGGTTACCTGTGACTATGTACAGGGGATACCTGTGAGTTTTGTAATGAGGGCTACCTGTGAGTCGTGTCGTGTTGTAACGGGGGCTACTTGTGAGTCGTGTTGTGTTATAACGGAGGACACCTGTGAGTCATGTCGTGTTGTAACAGGGGAAACCTGTGAGTCGTGTTGCACGGTTGTCTGTGAGTCGTGTTGCATTATTGTCTGAGTCGTGTCTCATAGTTATCTGGGAGTCATGTCGCATTATTATATGTGCGTCTTGTCATGTTGTCGTCAGTGCGTCGTGTCGTGTTGTAACGGGGGTTAGCTGTGAGTCGTGTTATGTCGTAACGGGGAATACCTGTGAGTCTGGTGCAGTAACGAGAATTACCTGTGACCATGTAACGGGGGATACCTGTTAGTTCTGTAACAGCGGATACCTATGAGATTGGGTGTGACAGGAGATGCCTGCACACTGTTGTTGTGGTAATAGGGGCTACCCGTGAGTTTGGGTAGATGCCTGTTCACTTTTTGTAGGCATCTCCTTAATTTGTAAGCTTATACCAAACCCAAATGATTTAAATCTTAATAGGCATACGCAAACCCAAGTGAATTAAATCTATAATAAAATCACACTTATTCAATTTTTAAGCTTATTCCCTTACTATTGTAAACATTGACACTCCTTAATTTGTCAAAATATTAATAATAGATTTTTATTTTAATTCAATTTAGGGTACCAATCAAATATATAATTATATAATCTTATTATCTTATATAATAATATTATTAAGAAAATTTTATATTTTTAATTACAATATTGTATTTTTCTTTCATTTTATTTTATTTTATTTTGGTTGAATTATATTACACTCGACGAACATTGCACCTGCATTTTACAAGTACGATAATAAATTCATTATATAGGACACATGATTATTATCCGTTCTTTTATTTATTATTATTATTATTTTTTTCTCATCTAACTAATGTTTTCATTTCATTCATTTTCCATTGGACCGAACAAAGCCCTAGCGATCTTTGATATTACAGAAACCTCGTAGAAAAGTGAAGTGCGATTATCATCTCCCTTACAAGATTGTTTCCAAAAGGAATTGATTAGGACACCCATAATCTAAAATTAATACTTAACAAATTCTACCAAAAATTGAGTGATTCAAGCTAAAGTAACAATACAATTAATAATAAGATATGAAAATAAGTATCAAGGCATAAAATGTCATAATTTATTATTTTTTAGTATCGAGGCATAAAATGTCAGAATTTGTTCCTCCTATTTATTATCTTGGTCATAAATCATAAATAATTAATTGACGAAAAATACATAAATTTCAATCATTCATCCTTACTTAGGCATAAAATGTCATAATTTATTATTTTTTTCTCAAATAGTCCAATGAAAATTACTAATTCATGATTATATATAAGTAACCTTTATGCTAGACCCCAAATACAATCAACTGTAGTCTATGGTTAAGTACATGAAATTAACAAACTGGAACATGCATTTAAAATTGTTTAAATATTTTATTCAGTTAGTATGAACATCAAACAAATTTAAAAATTGAAAACATAGAGTTACAAGACTAACTTACGAAGGCTTTCCTCTCAGCCAAAGTTGAGAGATTAGAACTCAAATAAATAATAAAATAACAACTATAAAACAAGGCATCATGAGTAGAAGATCTTCTGTATTTTATTTGTCACTTGCATAAGCCTCCCAGCTTTGCTTCTTAAGAAAATGCACGGCCTTTAGTGCTCTTATAACAGCTTCCATTTACAATTCAAACAGTGGCCAAGTCAACCCCAGTGCAATCATGAGTCCATTGACTACAGTAAGACAATATAATTTTCATTATCCATAAAGATCCAATCCAAGCAGGTAATAATTCAATCACCAAAAATTCCACATGCACACTAATCAAATCAAAATCAAAACATATTGTAGAGGTAATTATTTGTAAAAGCTGAAGATAGGGCAAGAGGATATGCCAAAGTTGAGTTGTCGATCATACAATATTGATCAACAAATGAAACTCAAGGAATAAATTTGAAATGAATAGACAAATTCAAAATGCAGGAAAAGCAATCAGTACCTTATTTGCCAATCATATGCAAGTTAACCTCTTCTTGATTGCTAATGCCAAGGAGGCAAACTGATTTCTTGATAGAAGATATGCCGCAGATATTATCATTGCTGGGGGTCTAGGGGTTCTCGAAAAGTTAACACTTATAGCAACACGATGTGTCTTTTTATCCATGAGCGGGAATGTAACGTATGACCGTGACGAAGGCGTAAAAACAAGGGGCCCATATTCGATGAATGTTCTAAAAGTTTTATATATGACCGAACTCTGTTCAAAAATACACAAAAAGCATACTTGTTAAGGCTCAAGGTATACACTAAAGCGCCAAAGGTCTCCTGGAGCCCAAGCACAAGGCACAATACAAGGCAAGAGACTGATAAAAGGCGCATGTATGATAAAGAAGCATATTAAAGATTAATTTAATAAAAATTATTGAACTATGCAACACATACTAGTCAATATCAAAATAAAGAAATCTTTCCAACATTTCAATGATGTGCAAAAATCATATCAAAATAATAATTCTATAAAAATGGGATTTTTGACCTATCAAGCTAAGAGGATCTGGTAAACTGATGTTGCATAAATCATTTCTTAGGCGTATAAATTTAGTAAATTAGATGTGATTACAAACGTAAAACAATAAAAAGCTATGATCAAGTAGACATTAAACATATACAATCATGTTTATTTAGAATCAAAATGAATGCAATTAATGTAATAAGTCAACCATAAATCTATGAATTTGTCAAATATATCATAAAGTCAAACAATATGATCCATTAAATATGATCGTGATATTATACAAAACATTTTAATTTAATGGTCATTAAATAAAGGACGTAAAATGAGAGAGTCTGGGGGCTTGGGCTTGGCCTTTAGTAGGTCGAAGCACTCTTAACTGAGCCTTGACAAGCCTGGGGCTTTTTTGGATACTAGGCACACTTTTAATGTTGATCAACATTCCCACTTTGTTACTTCTTTATCCAAGAAAAAAAAAATTAATGAAACAAAAATTACAAGTACACATACAAGGGTACCAATATTTCTCTAAAAGTGAGTCCAACTCATTGATAGTTTGGCATTCCACTGTCGTAAGGATTTAATTGGTAATATTGTTGAAATAATAAAAAAATGGAAGAAAGACATCCTCAACATCCCCGACTTGCTACTTCTTTATCCCAAAAACGAAAAAGAAAAAAAATACATTTAATGAAACAAGAATTACAAGTAGACAAGGTTACAAAAATTTCTCTAAAAGTGAGTCTTACTAATTTAATGTTTGACATTCAATTGTTGTCAACAGGCTATCACACATAGAACCTTTGGATTAAATGAGGTTGGAAGGAAAACAAAACACGTGACTTTTGGTGCTCATATATAGCCAAAGAAATTTGCTAATTGTAGAAGTTATACATATATCTTTTTCCAGAATTTCAAGCAAATTGTATAAAACAATAAAATGAAAAAAGTGGACAAGTCCACCGGATAAGATCTCTAAGTGAGAGACCAGGCCCAATTAGAAACCACCACTTATAAATGGGAATACGATACAAAAAAAGCCAAAATAAACCAAAGCCCAGTAACAATTCTCAAGCCGATCTCAAGTCAAGAGGCTTCCTTGGAGGATGGCAGGAGGAGGGGGAGATACCCCAGATGAGCAAAACACGACAAGATTGGGGTGAATCTTTCAAAAACCCACCCATGAGCCTCTCTATGATGGAGGAACAGATTTGGTCCAAAACATGGTTCAGCGAGGAGATCTTGCCTCTGAAAACCCAAGCATTTCGTTTGATTTCCAGTGGTGGGATGACGCATTAAAAGACCTATCAATATTGAACTCATGATGTTGGCTGACTCAGTAGACTTAGTAATATGCTACATACAAATAATTTTCTGGTGTTCTTTTATCAACAAAATCATATAGAACCATCGCCCTGAAAGGTAGAGGAACATGTATATGGTTTATAGATGAAAGGGGTCAGAATTAGTTTGGTTTGGGAAGTGATCAATTGCTAGATTGTAGATACAAAAACTTTTCCGCACTAATGAAGTAATGCAACCCTAAGGTTACCTAGATTCAGATTATTAAGAACAATTTTTTGGGGTATAAATAAAAAATTGTGGAGAATATCGTGGAACGGCTCTTAATAGACACAAGACCAAATCTGAGATTATGTAAAATGCACCTCTAGCCTTGAAAGCTTCATGCTTTGATAGACTAAAAAAAAGGGATATGATAGAGGATGCAGAAAAGTACGTAAAAGTATGAAAGTAAAGAGTAGATTTCAATAATATTGTAATGAGAGCCTGGAATAGTCAGGACTATGCAAATGGCCACATAAGACACTTCCAAAACCCAATTAAACATACGGGAAGAAAGAGAATAATTCAATATAAGATGAATAGAGGGAAGAAGAAGAGTAGAGAGAGGCAGCAAAAACATTTGGAATTTTTCCAATCAACCCAACCATAGTTTTTGGGAATGGGCAAGAAAAAGATAAGCCACGAGATCATCACCCGCGTTTTCCAAACCTCCAGTGCTAAGAACCTATGTAGGTAGAATCAATGCATCATATAACCAACCACACATAGGTGATCCTCAAATGCCACATAAAAAAGCTGATAATATAGTAGCATCAACCTCGGATATGAGAAACACCAAAAATGAGTGTTTGCTAGGTCGGGAGGAATGATAAGCGGATGGGAGAGATATGAGTTGCTCAAGTATTCATGAATATAATTCTTAACAGCACACCAAAAGATTAAAATTTATACTTCAAAATATGTGAAGCAAGAATTTACCATTCCTAATGAGAAAAACATCAGCAAGGACAAACTACTATCTATGTCTCTTACCTTTTCCTCGGAAAAACTGTTAGACAGTGAGGGAGGTGGCATCCAGAGATCCTTTGAATAAGACCTCAATGTTAAACTCTCTTCTGTGTAAAACAAAACATAACAAAATCAGACTAGTTTAATGGGGTTTTTCTGGAAAATTCCTTTGAAGCATGAGTCAGTTGAAGTGGAAATCAACCAATCACCTAATTCTTCCGTTGCCTCTTTGATACTTTCACTTTCACTATGGTTCTGACATCAGTCTGAGCTCCATGGCTAAGCAATGTCGCAATCATTTCATATGATAAACCATTAGCTGCTAAATGCAATGGATATAATCCATCGTTAAAGGGAATATTGAGATCAGCGATGAAACCGGTCTCCCCTCCGAGAAAAGCGATGGCACAATCTATTACGCCAAACTGACAAATTCCATGCAAAATTTTTGGTGGGCAATATTTAGCTTGATAATCAGATGATTCCTTCTTTCTAACTTCTTTGAAATAGCTCCTTCATAAAAGAGAGAAATAGAGGTTTGTCATCATAACAAACAATCTCTGCCAATGTTGCTATGAAATCATCACCAATTTCTTCCTTTAGATGAGCATATCCAACCTGTCATTATTTGAACAACACTAACATCAACACGTGAAGATGACCACAATAAGATAATAGCGCATATCATTAAAATAAATGCACGAACAGTAATATAAGTACGAAAAAGGGAGCCCCGATCTTCTGCTGTAATCTCCCTTGCTGTAGTGGTGCCATAGGGTTTTTCAACACAATTACACCTGTTTTCAACATATTTACATCTACTTATTTTTATTGCGTTGAGAAACAGATGTAATAAGTTGAAAAATCACAGTTGAAAAGCAGATGTAATACGTTGAAAAACCATCAGCACAGCAAAGGATATTATAGGTGAGGATCCAAGTGCATGAAAAGGGAATGTGAATGTATTCAAGTTTAAGTAGACACCTCAGACATCCTTGCCCCAATTACAGTATCTGCTCTGAATTCTGACCTCCTTAAAAGGCGCTCCAATATAAGAATAACCTTCAGAAGGAAAAAAAAACATAATTGATTGAAAGTTTTTCAAATAAACAACTAAATCACAATGGAGAGGCAATCAAATAATTATATACCGTACTTCAATTTAGTTTATAGTGCAAAATAACTACTTGAGAATGGAATCCCAACATTCATCGGATACACAAAATGGTTTATGCACTTGTGTATAAAAAACATAAAAGCTCGCATACGAAACAAGAGGGCATTACTGGCCTAGTTGATAGAGCACCCAGCTCCTCGAGCAGGTATGCCCGAGTTCAAATCCCCACTCCACCTAGTTTGCGAAGGAAAAAAAAAAAAAAAAAAAAAAAACAAAACAAAACATACGAAACAAGACAAACTTAATCCCTACTACTCGCGCCTGTTAAGGCTACATAAGCCGACGCTATGTATTTGCTAGAATCAGATCTATGCCAAATCAAACTAGGTAGAGAATATCTGAATCCAAAAGCACAAATATTTCCAACAGAGATGAAATGCAAATTGTTCCAATATAGTCAAGGGCATAAAACTTCTGCACAATAATCATACAATTTCGGAAAAAAAATTGAAACAAATATAGGCCAACGAAGAGATATCAGAGACCAAAGGAACGCCGATATGGGTGTGGCGGACTAGTTTCGATCTAGTGGCAGTGGTGCTCATAAAATTTCAGCACAACAATCATATAATTTTGGGAAAAAAATAAAGAATACTGCCCAACGAAGAGATATCAGAGACCAAAGGGGACACCGATATGGGTGTGGGGGACTAGGTTCGATCTGGTGGTTGTGGTGTAGTGGGAGCAAAGAAACCCACCTGGTGCACAAGGTCGATCGCTCTTGGGGGAGAGGCACGTGAAATAGAAGCTGGGGATGTAAGTTTTGAAATAACATAAATAGCCACCTTTTATGAGCTGACATGCTCTAATGAGGTTATTTTTTCCAACAAAAAAATTTGGGGGAGAAATCGTCCCCTTCAAGGCGGGGAGGTCAGCTTTACAGTATATATCTGATTCATTGTTGGGGTTGATAAGTCGGGTTTAAATATAGTTCAGGACCGCCTCAGGTTAGGCTTCGAATTGATCCACACAGTAACTCGAGCTCCAATCAAAATGAAATGGGGTTGTTACTTTTCAAACCAAGCTCGAACCAAATTGCAAGTTAAACAGCCCGCCCAAAAACTTTGGAACTAGGCTCGAGTTTGTCCGAATTGGGCCCACCCAATTTGCACCCCTAGCTATATTTACTATGGAAAGCTAAGTGACCTCACTGAAATTTCGATATTTGATGGGTAATTAGTTGGTTATTACCAAGTGAAACTAATAGAGAGAGTGCTCTTACTACTACCTTTCTTCTTCTTGATTAATTACAACGTACATAGGGATGGCAAAGGGGGCATGAGTACCTTCCCCCTCCGGTTTAAGTCTCCCCACCAAAAACTGTTTAGCAAAACCCCCCTCACCGTCCCATTTAAGTTTCACTGCCCCGCCCCATTTAATTTTCAATTTACTGATACACTAACATATAATCAAAATGAATGATCATCAATTTACTGAGACACTAACATATAATCAAAATGAATGATCAAGTATGCGTTCTGTGAGCTTAAATGATAAATGAACTACTGTAAAAATAAAAAATTATATGTGTTCTGTTAAAGTAATTTTATGAGATCAGAATCATTAGATCTGTGTAAAAGATACAGAAATTTCATAAGATCGGATGTATATTCTGTTCGAATTGAACCCTTAAATCATAATCAAACACAAATATCACCATCTGTAATGTAAAATAAAGATTTACCCATTTTTCAAGTAATAAAATGGTGTAAATCTATGCGCACATTAGACATATAATATATAGACAGCCACTGTCCACCCACAGAGTAAGTTCACTAAGTTTTACGTTATGTATACCACACGCAGCAAGTTCACTAAGTTGTACTTTGGGTATACCACGAACAGCAATGGATCTTTAACTTTGAAGAAAAAAAGAAAAAGAGAGAGAACTGACCGTAGGCCGTAAAACCAGTGGGTGGTCGGTGAGGTTGACGAAGCCGGCTTCGGTGGCAGGCCGTGAGGGACGAGAGAGTGAGGGTTTTTGGTAATCTCTAGAACGGCTGTACTATGAAGCGATTAGAATTTTTTTTTTTTTTTTTTTTTTTTTTTTTTTTTTGGGTAAAGTACACAAAGACAAATAGATACAAGTTAGTCTATTTTTGGACAATCACACCCCCCGGTCAAAAACTTGATCCAAACCGCTCCTTAAATTTTGTAAAAAGTCAAGATTGCCCTTTAATATTTTATTAATTTAAATTATAAAATATCAAAAAATTTAAATGACTCTTTTACCCTTATACATTTATTACACCAATACATATATATATATATATATATATATATATATATATATATTATATATCTATATGTATATTTATATATCTATATGTATATTGTAAACCTATCAAACCCAGACCCGGCCATGACACCACTTCCACACCTTCCAACCACCGGTCGACGAGTGGTTCACCATCTCCTTCATTCACATGTTGGTTACTCCTTTCACCGACACCTTCATCCTCCAAGAACCCCTCAAATAACTCCTCAGCCGCCGCCGCAAGTTTCTGGCGTGAAGCGGACAGATCAAGGATTGACAGAGACATATTCCCTACGCCGGCGTCTTTGATTCTTGACGGCGGCAGAGAGTTGATGTTTGAGTGTAGAGCGAAGCTTTGAGTATGGAGTGATTGCTGAATGAGGGGCGTTTGGCTCGACTCTACAATTGGTTCCGTCATCTTTAGATCTGGATGATATGGACAGTTGAGGATGAAATCGGTGGTTTCGCCACCGATAAGGGTTGCTGTGAGCTCTGTATGTGAGAGAAAGCTTGTAGATGTGGCCGTTGTTGGTAGGAGGTGAAGCTGGAGCAAGGGTTAGCAAATGTGGCTTCGGTCGGTTTCTAAGGCCGAGAAATTGAGGTGGTTAGCACCGGCGGCTGATGGTGAGCACCACAACCTCGTCTGTAACTTACAAGGGTTTCATGAAGGAGGTGGTAAACCCCAGCGACAGATGGTGAGCTTCGAAAAAACATCGCTGAAGAAGGAGCGCGTGAAGGTGTGATGATGATGAGCGTGAAGGGTGAACCCCGACGGCTGAGGTGTGATGATGTGGCGGCGGTGGCGGAGTTTGAGGTGTGATGTTGGCGACGGCGGAGGGGTGATGTTGATGGCAGTGGCAGTATATGCAGTGTGTGTATATACACATACAGATGCTTCTGGGTTTCGCCGGCAATTTCTTTCGCCGATGCTTCTGGGTTTCGCCGCCACTGTCGCAGTCATCGCCGCCGCCACCCCCACTGTCGCAGCCATCACCACAATCTCTCTCCTGTCTTCTTCCTCTCTCTCCTTTTCACCTCATCTCTTCAACTAAGGCCGCCCCTCTCTTCCCCCTCTCTCTACACCCACCACTACAACCGCAGCCACAACCACCATCCATCTGATCTCCCTTCTCTCTCCTCTGGTGAACTGTATAAGGCGGGTTCGGGTTTGGGTTTGGGTTTGGGTTTGGGTTTGGGTTCAATCAAAGGGTATTTAAGTCAATTAAAATGTTAATTTTATTTGAAAGGGTAATAAGGTCAATTCACCATCTTCAGGGTCTCTTTGTCCATTTTTCAAACTTGAAGGGGTGTCATTGTCCAAAAACAGGCTAACTTTCCTCTGCTTGTCCTTTCCTCAAACCTCAGGGGGTGTCAATGTACTTTACCCTTTTTTTTTTTTTTTTTTTTGGGTTAATTACAATGACACCCCCCGAGATTTGCCTTAATTACAGCCATATATAACTTAGTGTTTTTTTGAACAATGACACCCCTTCTTAGTTTTATATCAAATTTTGGTAATGAAATGTCTACATTGCCCTTCAATATTTAATTAATATATGATGAGAAAATATTAGAATCGTAAAATGACTAAAATGCCCATCTTAGAAAACCCAACCACCACAACTCTCTCTATCGTTTCTCTCTCTAACCTTTCAACTCCTTTGTCATCACTCTCTTAACCCTTGCAGATCTCACCTCTCTTATGTAACCCTAGCCTTATTTTCAACCGACAGAATCTCTTTATACCCTTACCCTTAGATCATGACAAACCCTCTCGAAATCCGACCGACTTACGACGACGACCAGCACCACCGACCATCGTCGACGATCAAATTGGCAGCGATGATCTTGACGTCTTGGCCAAGGTGATCATGGCTTTGGTGTTGAAGAGATCATGGTCGTTGATCTGATGAAAACGATCATCCCAATTGCCCGCATTGGTGGTCTCCTCGAGCTCTCGATGAACCTCTCCTGTCATCTCGTTGGATGCATTTTCTCAAGATCAAGGCATGTTTTTGCGAAATCATTCCACAGCTAGCTCATAGAACTCCAATGAGAAGGAAGTCGCAGTAGGGGAATTCTCAAGTACGACAATTAGGAATTCTTCGTAGAATTAACAAACCTGCCTAGCAAGTTAAACCCAAGTTTGGTTTGATACGTTCTTCACCAAAACTAGGTGTGTGACCCCAAATGCCTCATGGGTTTCTTCGATTGGTCTCGTCTCTAAATGGGTATCCCTTAATTCTTGCGATTTTACTCTACAATTTGTATTTATTTACGCATACAAATTAAGTTATTGAGTGAATGATTGAAAGCGATAAGCCCGTTTCGGCAATTTTGGATTCAATTGTTACTTGTTATGCGAATCTTGTGTTTATAATGGAGGTAATGGTTGGGGTTCTAGAGAGGTGAAAGCTGAAGTGGGTTTATTGAGATAAATATGTGATCATAGAGGTATAATTTATGTGTGGAGAGCATTTAGCATAAGGATCTAAAGCAAGAAAATGCAAAAAAAGAGAATGGGAGAATCTTCCTTGATCGTCGCCATCATAGGATTCTCACCACCATGTCTGTTCTGTGTCGCCAGGATCTCGTCGCCTTGTCTACGTTGGAATTGCATCACCACACGTCGCTGCTAGTCGCCAAACAAGATCTGGTCGACGTCAAAATCGCTTCACCATCATGCCAACACCACTGCTACTCAATGTTGCCAGAGCATCGTCACAGTTGCTGGAGCCCGAGAGAGAGAGAGTTGCAGAAGTATATGGGTTTCTCATTGAAATGATAGAGTTTAGACTTTATTAACTAATCGTTTGATATGGATGAATTGTTTAGAGTGAGTGAATGTAAGTCACCGAGCTCGGCAAGGACAGTTCCGGTGAATTTAGTATCTGAAATGATGAGTCTTGAATCAATGAAGATAAATTCAAATTCAATGAAAGTTGTAAAGGGACTGATTGGATATTGATTTTGGATTGTGGGTGGAGAGAGATAGGGAAGATGAGGGTATTTTTGTCCTAAAATGGCCTTTTGATACATTTTCTTATTTTAATTAAAAAATTAGGGTAATTCAAAAGCTAAAGGGTAATAACGTCATTTTAACTTGTGTCAGACCTGGCAGGAGTGTCTTTGTTAAGTTTATGAAATCTGAAGGGGTCTCATTGTTCAAAAAGAGGTTAACTTGTATATGGCTGTAATTAAGGCAAATCTCAGGGGGTGTCATTGTAATTAACCCTTTTTTTTTTTTATGGAGAAACGATGAGATATTGGTTCCTATTAATCTATTACCATATCGTGTGTGTGCATATATATATATATATACTATTTTATTTTATTTTTAAATACAAAAATAAAATTTTAATGAATTATAAATATGTTATAATTTCATTAGTTGAGTTTAAGCTTTTGGAATACGCACTTAATAAAGTTATAAATAGCCATTTGAATATCATTGAAATGAGTATATTAAACATGCAAAGGAAAACCATAAAAATGGAGTTTATATGTTTTAACTTGAAACTCAAGACTTGTAATTTATTCTTCAATCTTTGTTCTAATCAACTTTCTTTCTATCACGATCGCTTCTTTCCTTTTAACATCTTTAGTTTATCAGGTAATTATAATTCTAAATTTCTTGTTTTCAAATTCAATATTTTTATTTGTTTTTTGTTTGTTTCATTGTAGATTTTTTCTATTTTGTGGGAATTTTGAGATCAAACTTTTAATTCCTATCTCTTTATTCTAGTTCTAAAGTATAATGAACTTGTTATACCAGCTCTTTTCCACATATGATTGCATACATATATTTTCTCATCATTTAAATATATTTTTGTTAAATGTCATTTCTTGCTATAAATTATAATTGAGAAAGTGTGTACTTCTATCTCAAAATGTCTTCTTTTGATTTGGAAATCATCTACATCCAATCCAATCAAATGAATATATGCTTAATCTTGAGCTAAGAGCAACCAAGAATATAAATGGTATATTTTGAGGTGTTTGTTTCTTTCTTTCTTTCCAACTCTTTTTTTTTCTTCTAGTTTTTTATTTATTACTTAACATATTTTCTCTAGATTTATGAAGTTAATATTTACTTGTGATTCATAGAGTTAATATACAGATACATATACATATTGTGAATTATCCAAATTAATTTTTTTATTATTTTTAAAAAAAATTATCTAAAATTCATTTATAATATAAAATGTTTATTTTATCACGTGCATCGCACGTGGATTACACTAGTATATATATACATATGGGCAAATTACACAGACTTCCCTTGGGTTCTGGAAAGACCATTTGGCATTTATTCCTTTTACCACTCCCTCATATTGTGCTCAAAGACACTTATATTGTTTTGTTTTCGATACCAGATTTTATAAAAAAATAATTTTTTCCTTTTCTTCTATAAAATAAAAATTATATTAATTTTTCTTAAAGTTTGTCATAATTACCGAACCTTCCTTAAATTTTAAAAACTACTTTAACCCCCTAAAAACAAATCTTGTGACATGGGCCTCCCTTTTTAACAATCACCACTAGTCCATGACGAAAATTCAATTTGCTTTCAAACATTTTGAATTCTATCTCACTCCTAATCTATACATACATCCATATACCTATGTAAATCACCTCTTAAAATTCAAGTATACCTGCTCCAACACCATATTGCCACCTTACAACACAATGTTATAATTAATCATAAATAATGGGTGTTGTCTGTAATGAGGTGACTTATGAAGTTGAAATTATAGAAAAGAAAGAAAAAAAAATATTTGTTGCAAGGGTGGTGTGTGTTACAA